GTTCACAGTCTGTTCCTTGTAGGTCCCAGGTTCCTTGTAGGTCCCAGGCCCTGGCTGTGCTGCAGAGACGCTGTGGATTGGACACTTGCTCTGGTGGTGGCCACACGCTCTCAGGCTCTAGGTGGCAGGACCCTTCTTCCCAGCGTCGCCCCTGCCCGGTCAGGGTTATGGTCCCCCTGCAAGTCTGGCCTGCAAGGCCTCTTGGCTGAGGCGTCTCCCTGTGCTGGGCCCACTGCCCAGGGTCCCCCTCCTCTCCTCAGCTGCTCACCGCACTCGGACTGCACACTGCTCCGGACTGCCCCAGCCCCAGCTCCGGACTGCTCCAGCCCCGGCTCCAGCTCCACTCTGCCTCAGCACGGCTGCTGCTGCTGCTCTGCCTTCAGCTCCCTGGGCTGCTTGTCTGGCCCCTCTGGCTCTGGTTACTGCAGCTCTGCCCCCAGGACAGCTCTGCTTTGCAGGCTGCTTCTGTGACTCCGCTCCCAGCTCTGACCTGCTTCCTGGCTGCTTGTCTGGCCCCTCTGGCTCTGGTGGCTGCAGCTCTGCTCCCAGGGCAGCTCTGCTCTCTCTGGGCTGTGCTCTGGCTTTGAGGCTGCAGCTCTGCTTCCAGCAACTTAGCTCGGGCCCCTGCTCTCTCCTTAGCTCGGCCCCACTCTGTCTGACTCAGGCCATTCCAGTTCACAGGGAGGACGGGACCCCCTCTGGCCTCCTGACTCCCTGATTAGCCTGCCCGCCCTGTCAATCAGGCTGATCTGGAGCATTGACCTCTCCCCATTGTTCCTGGGGACTGTCAGTCTCAGGCTCCTGATTTGCCATCGACCCCTCCCCTTTTAGTGCTGGGAGCTAGCAACCAAAACACCCCCACTGAATGTTAGTAAGGGGGCAACAGTCCCCTTACAGTAGCTCCCAGCAGCTCCGATGCCCATCCCTGAGCAGCCTGTGCCCAGCCATGCAGACAGCATGTGGTGCGCCCTGCAGAGCCATTGTCTGGTGCACTGGGACAGTCGGTTCCTTCCCCATGACACGACCATCCCAACATTTAAATGAGCTATGGGGAGAAATTGACTATAGGTGTCTGCCTGTTCCTGATGCACCAGGGCCTGGTAAAGCCTGGTGTTCTCATCTGTCTGTGCCCAATACAGCCTGATCTCAGGGTACCAGGCCCTGTCTGTCTGTGCCCAATGCCCCCTGAACTCAGGGCGCCAGGCCCCATCTGTCTGTATGTGCCCAATACACCCTGATCTCAGGGCACCAGGCCCTGTCTGTGTGTCTGTGCCCAATGCCCACTGAGCTCAGGGGGCCAGGCCCCATCTGTCTGTCTGTGCCTGATTCCTCCTGCACTCAGGATGCCAGGCCCCATCTGTCTGTCTGTGCCCGATGCCCCCTGAGCTCAGGGCACCAGGACCTGTCTCCTCTCTCTGTGCCCAATGCCCCCGGAGCTCGGGGCACCAGGCCCCATCTTTCTATGCAGCAGCCAGCTCGGGCCCCCAGTAAATGAGCATTACAGCTTCTAGTGTGTAGATAAGGTGCAGAACTGAGTGCAGCTGCATGATGGTGCCTTGCTTACTAGAAAGGAATGGGCTGGGTTACAGATACAAATACAGTGAGCTTCCCTCTAACCTTCCCAAATTCCCGCCCCGCTCTGTCCTGGCCCCTCAGTCCTGCCCCACCCGCTCCTTACGCTGTATAAACACCCTGCGGTAATATTACACAGCTAGATACGGAGACAGCAGCTGTGTCCAGACACAAGCCCTCTTGCACATTTCACAGGGGATGATGATGTTGGGGAACAACCACATTATTCCCCCTTCTCTTTGCCTTAGTAGCATATTGACAGCTGAAAGATGTGTTTTTGCCATTTTCTGATTTCTTGTAATTCCTAAAAACTTCCACAAGGTGTCACTGGCTCTCTACTCCTCGAAATGCTCCACTCTCACCCCCTCTGTAGTAGGGTGACCATATGTCCTGTTTTGGCAGGGACAGTCCCCTTTTTCAGCTCTCTTCTGGCCGTCCCTACTTTTTCACTAAAACTGGACATTTGCCCTGATTTGTGAAGGAAGCGCTGCCTTCAGAGCTGTCCCCCCGGGCAGCAGTCCCCGCTCTCCGACAGGGGTTAGTGGCAGTGCTCTAATACGTAAACGCTGATTTTTTCTGGTTAGCTGAGTTGCAGCTGCAGGCTGAAAGCAGCGTGATGTCTCTTCCCAGCTCCAAGGTTTGCCTCGCTTTGGAGCCTGAGTGTTGAGACAGTGTGAAATAGGAAGGGTTTTTAATTGTACGTTTTGTTGTAGCTCAGAGTCTCCCTGAGCCAAAAAAGCTGCCTGTCGTAGAGGCAGAGTGCCGTGTTCAGATGCTGGGCTGGGCCAGTTTTCCGAGAAAGCCTTGTGAAGGAACACTTGCAAATCAATTCTACCCTGGTGTTTCAGTAGTAGATTTACCAGGCCATAGAGATCTCTGGAGATTAACTTGGCCCATAGCAAGAAATTGGTTCAGCAAAATAGGGGCTGTCAGGAGCAGGGTGCCAGCCAGAGGCAGACTGATATGTATCCAAAACATCCCTACAAGGAGCACACACAGTTCATTCACACACATGTTCTCCTTTGTCAAGGGCTGGTTGTGTTACAAGTAAGGGTGGCAATACTACCATGCTACTCTTACTTCTTTGCTGCTGCTGGCGCGGGTGCTGTCTTCAGAGCCAGGCAGGCCAGCAAGCAGCTGATGCTCTCCATTGCCCAGCTGTGAAGGCAATGCTGCCACCAGTCACATGATGTTGCCAGGTGATACTTTCGGTTGTTTTTTTGGCGGTGGGGGGCTTATGCATACCTGTGTCCTTAGAAGAATCAATAGTTTGTGTGTGGTCATTTTTTGCTATAAAAATGTCTAGGAAACATCTGTGTAATTGTAATGAAGACCTCCAAAAACAGTTCAAGTTTTTAAAAAAAGACACTTCAACATTGGACAACAGCAAAGTTGTATGTGAGACATGTGGAGCACATTTCTCCATTGCTAGAAGTGGTCGTAATGACATTACCCAACACCTTCAAAGCAAGAAACACAGAGATGCTGATAAAAGTAAGTGTTTAACACCAAGTGTTTCAGGATTTTTTTCTGAGGCAAGACACAGTAGCTGAAAAAGTTTTTGCCCATGAGGGAGTGTTTGCTTACCACTCAGTGCGGCACGCACACAGTTTCCAGTCTAGTGACTGTACATCACCGTTAATTAGGAAACTATGCCAACCAAAATTTTCATCTGCTCGCACAAAATCTGAGGCAATCGCTTGCAACGTCTTAGCCCCTTTATCCATTGAAAAAAATGCAACTTGAGTTGGATAAGTGTTCCTTCATTATGCTTTCCCATCCCTGTTCTACATGCTTCCCAAGATACACAAACAGGGAAACCCAGGCAGACCCATCATAGCTGGCCATGGCACTCTTACTGAAGGAATATCAGGATTCATAGAAACCATCCTCAAAGCACTCACTGCACAAAATAACTGCGAGAGCAGTAGGACAATGGAACAGACTGCCTAGGAAGGTTGTGGAAGCTTCTTCACTAGAGGATTTCAGAAGGAGGCTGGAGCCATCTGGCTGCATGGGCGATAGGTGGAGCCCACTTTGGGGATGCTAACCCAGGCTCCACCCCTTCCACCCCCTTCCCACAGCTAGAGCCCTGAGACCTCCTCCCTGTCCCCCCCTTCCTCTCCCCATGGCGGGTGTAGTGCGAGAAATTGCTATGTGTAGGAATTTGCTACATCAGATGTAAAAAAAATGCTATCTGATGTAGCAAATTCCTACACATAGCAATTTCTCACACTAAACCGGAGCCTCCAGACCCCTCCCCCGGAGGAGCCCCAAGACACCCCCCTCGGCTGGAGAAGTCCCCTCATGCCCGGAGGAGCCCCCCCCCCCCGGAGGAGCCTGGGGCCGGCCAAAGCCCCAAGCCCCCCTGTGACATTCTATACCTTGGGGGAGCATCCTGGAACCCCCATATTCCCTATTTTCTTATAATGGTGATCTTACATATAAAGCATGTCTTGTAAGGTACCAGGGGAAAGGTTATAACCTGCTGAAAGTCATTTCTCTATCCATATATGTATATAGTTAATGCATATGAAGTTATGAGAATTGTGTTGTATGATTGTCACTAAAACATGCTGTAAATTGGGGAATCAGACAGATATTAGCTCCCCAGAAGCAACAACAAGGAAAGTAACCAGGCGGGTGTCAAACCACCATCAACAGCCATTGTCCAGGAAGGGCGCTACAGTTCAATGACTCACCTGCATAAGGCCACACTGGGGGAATTGCTCAACTTTACCTGGGGACTCAGCAATGCCCCAGACGTGCCTGGACTTGTGTTCTCCAAGAACATGGACTGAGGGTATAAAACAGACACAGAAGCCATGTTCTGGGCCCTTCTCCTGCCCCCACTTATGCTGCAAGGACATAAGACACTAAGAAGAAGACAAGACTCCAACAGAGGA